CGGGCCGAATGGAGAATGAAGGTCGGATTTTGAACTGGAAGTTGATTCTTCACGGGATGTCAGAAAAACCAGAGCACATGAAGAAACCAAGGGTGTACATTCCTTACAACGCCGTGCAGAATGATCGCAGAGGAGTGGAGCATATGGATGACATGGTGGAGGTGAGTACAATGCAAAAAAAAAATTATAAAAAATATATATATATATATATAAATATGCATTCATGCAACATACAAAAACTGGTTCAGCTCGAGATGAAATAAATAGCAGAGAGTTGGAGGGTTGTGTCATGTAAAATAAGAGATGTCACTGTAAGGGCTGAATGTACAGACACTGAACTTACACCTGAATATAAAACATTAGGCTAAGTGACTGAGGGTCTACAGTTATGCTAGCACTTTTTTTGAGGCTGTTCTTAAGCAGAGCGGTTCTTTGAGTTAAATCCTAATGGTCATTTTGCCAACATGCTCACAGTGACAATGCTAACCTGCAGATTCTAAGCAGATATAATAATAGAAATGGTCAACATCCTAGTTTAGTGTATTACCATGCAGCCAGTAAAACACTAAACACAAATTACATCTGAAGGACTGACTTTGGAAATGTTGACTTTTCTGTTTGAATTAAGATTACAACATCTTTTTTTTTTTTTTACAGTTAGCTAACTTAGCCTATCTTCCATAGCAGAGACTTAACCTTGTTTTACTGGTAATACAAGGTTAAAATACTCTTGATATAGACCTTTAGTTTTAAACTCTATCCACCGTTCCAGCCAATAAAGAGGCAAAAAATGAAACCTGAAATAAATACTTATTTGGCTGATACTATTTGCTAATCTGTCAGACATCGATGTGGCTCTCAGTAGTTTTGCAGCTATTTCTATGCAAACTAAAGTATTTCAAAAGTTGAAATTTTGACCTCTTGATGGTGAAGAACATTTTGGATTGACAAAGTGTGTATTTTCTCGAGAGAGACATGTCTGTAAAACGTTTAATCGGTGAGATGCCTCAGTAGATTGAGCAATCTTAAAATGTAAGTGAACAGAGTCACTATGCCAACTGAGAACTTGATTTGGCCCGACCCTTAGACATTTTACTTCTCGTCTTGCTGCAGTGATTTAGCAGATAACTCCACAGCACGTCAGCAATAGGTGACAATACAGTTTGTGGTTGTTAAAGGTGCTACAAACATTTCTGACCAAACCCAAAAGGGCATGACAGAATAGTGACTGTTATAACTCCCAGTGGCACATTGTTACGAAAACCTCATGTCAAAGCTATACTAGCAAAACCATCAGAGAAGGGTTTTTATGTCATATCTAAGATTGCCAAGACATGACATGAACTCTCTGAGGCTCCAATCAATCTCCTAATAGTTACCCATTGTTCCTCCTACAAAATACCATGATGAAACAGAGAGATCTGCTTTAAAAAAATAAATTCAATATTTAAAAATATTCTAATGTCAGATCAAATCAGAAAGATAACTGAACAAACAAAATACAGTTTTAATGTCAATCTTAATGGGATTATTTTATGTTTGTCTGTGTCACAGGAGACCACAAAGGGCAATCCACAACAAAAGACTGAGTCTGCACAGGCCTTCCTACTTCCAAACCCAGAGAAGGACCCTAAAACCCCCTCAAATCCACAGTACTCCCCCTCCCTGGCCCTGCTGCGTCTCCTTCAGACGGCCTTCAACAGGCAAACTCCCGTCCTAAAGCAACAGCAGTCTGTAGCTAGGATCTCCTCCTCCTCCTCCTCCTCCTCCTCCTCCTCCTCCACCTGGGCAAAGCAGCAGCCGAGCCGGAGCCTCTCTCCTGCCGCAACAAGACTCCCCACTAAGTCATTGTACCAGGCTCTGGACATGATCAACAAGTTCCGGGGCCCAGAGGACAGTGTCTACAGCGACTACACTGATGGCTTCTACAGCTCCAAGCCGTACAGGCACAGAGACGACCGACTGCTGCAAGCCCTGTTTGACATGATCGATGATGCCAGCAAGTAAAGGAGAGGAGAGGGGAGGAGAGATAAGATAAGGGGGAGGCATGTCTATGTGTTGGTTTGGGGAGCAGAGGAACAAGGCAAAGGAAAGAGAAAAAAGTGAAGGGATGTGATCAGGAACTTTAGTCCTAGAAAAGGAAGAAAGATGAGGAAAAATGTTCTTTTTCCCCCAAAATGCTGCAAATCTGATTTATTTACCTTCGTTTACCCTCCATTAATGAATTACTTATACAGCTAGCAATATTTGCAGCACACACCTACATCAAAACATATACTTCTTATGACACAAACCATACCTCCATGTCGTGAATTACTTAGCATTTACTTGATAAGAAGGAGAGAAAGGCCTTGTCTCTCTTCTCTTCATCGCCTGTTTAAGCATGTCACCTTTAGAGTATACGTTTTGTTATAGTATATATATATATATATATATATATATATATATATCAAAGACGATGATTGTAATATGGTTTGAAAAAAAAAAACACGATATCCAAAATCTTTCCTTTCAAAAATCCTGTTTCCTTTTGTTTTGCCATCTATCAGTCATTCAGTTGTTTAACATGGTCAACTGTAGGACATCTCACTTTATTCACTTTAGAGGACGACTCTATCCATAAAATGTGACATAAAGTCAATGAATGTGAGTATAGGCATACATTTAAAATGAAGCAAAGCTTTTTATTGATGAGTAATTTGACATGTTTGAACTGTGTTGACAAAAGATTTATTCTCAGGGTGTCAACAAAGCTCAAGAAAGTTTCAGATACATATAGATATTCTGGACTTGTCAAAGTATTCATAGAAATATATATAAAATTGTGACAAATCATATACTATAAAGTATGCTACAGAGATACAGCAGTTGTAGGATTTAAAGAAAGATAAGCTTGGGAATATTAAATAAAAGATGGAGCAGTCATCTAGTTGGAGTAGTGAGACATTTAAAGTGACAAATCTGAACTTCTTTATGTGCAATTAATTTAATTTTGTATGAGTACAATGCTGCATTAAATGAAATATTTTTCTAAGGATCCTCATAGTTTATGGAAATAATATATATACAGTATCAAACCCTAGAACAGGTTTATTTTCTTGTGCCGTGGTTCACTCAATACCTGCAAAGTCAGTGCAGTAAACATAACTAACTAGAAATGAACACTGCCAGAGTCTCTGCTGTCCAAAAGCTTAACTGTGTATTTCAGTGAATGTTCAAATAGCTGGCTTGTTGTTTGTTCATCTTCAGCAATATTCCGCCTACCAACAGTTCTTTTAATCCTGGATTATCACATTAATAATACTTCTCTGTTTTTTTTATTTTTTAATTTGGTTTCATTGGACTTTCACACATAAGAAGCTGACAAGAAGAACTGTAGATTAGAGACTCTGCATTCATCTCTGACGGCTTAATATATTCTATTATTCATGTGCCTATCATCTCTTTACATGGTGTAGATCATTTAATAACGCTTGTTTAAGTGTTAAGTATGATATGAATATCCTTTGCAGAGTCTTTACTCTCCAGTTTTTAGCTGCCTGCCCCGCTTCTCTGCCGACAAGGTGACAGGAGGAGGAAGATGTTTGGACAACGCTTTACATGCACAGTGTAATTTATCCACTCTTTGTTGTAGCTCGTGCTGTTCTCTTCATGTTTTTGACTGATGCTTCAGTCACAAAGTTGTTTACACAGACCAATATTATGTTGCAATTTCTGTATGGATGTAAAAAAATTATAATAATCAAGATTTATCGTAATAAACTGCAAACTGACCTCCTGTCATTTTGAGTCTCTTCAGCAACCAGTGAATCTAAAACACAAGAATAACAACCAGGCTGACACATGGGGGGAAAGAGGGCTTGGTAAAAAACTTAAATTAAATTAAATTCAGTCTTTGGTCAAAAATTATAATGATGTGCATAAAAGTGTTTCGTTATCAAGACACACATTTGAACTCATTTGCATCTTCTTTATGTCATGATTGATAAAACGGTCTTTGGACTTAAAAGCAAATTATTTATTTAAGTCTTATAGTTTATCCATGAATGACAAACCTATCTATTTGAAGTATTTTAGATTTTAGACTTTTATATTTAAAAAAAAGTATAAAAGAAGTACCAATGACTTTGTTGATATAGGCTAGTCTATGATTGTTTGAATTATAGGCTACATTATTAGCGCTATTTTATTAAGCTAACTTAATGAGACACACTTTTTTGTATTATTATTATTTTAATTACCATTTTTATGACATCACAATACAAACAGGAGTGAAAACCCACAACCCAATCCATGGACATAACCAGTTTCTGAGGCATGGTGGATGTTGGTGTCTTCCAGTCTTTCAAAATCATTTTTTTTCCTACTACCATGCCCATCAAAAGAGCAGTTTGGATATATGAAGGGAGCAATACAGAGTCCTCTGAAGCTTAAGAGAGCCAAGTTTCTGTGGCCAGACACACTTTTAATCTGAAGTTGTTTGATGACACACAACACTTAGCCTATAATCACTCCAAAGAAAAATCAGAGCTCAACAATTAAAGGATATGGATTTAGGATGCTATATTTGTGATGGACATTTCTGTGACACAATATGCATCCTACAGTCTTCCATTTTTCATTTTGATTGACTTTTAGAATTGTTTTAATAGATACTGCAACTTTTTTTGTTATGTTTCGTCTCCTTAGGTTTGTAGACATGCACCAGTTTATTACCTTGTATTTCCTGTCTAATACCACCACCTTGTGTACAAAAAGAATACAACACCCTGCTGGAGTAAACAGAATACTTCTGTCTGCTTCCTCACTTTCATAAAGGATGCTGAATCTCTTCAGATGTATATAGGCCTACCAGCATGTTTTTTTTTTTTTTAAGTTTGTGAGTGGCTTCCAAAGTGTAGGCTATACCAAGCATCGTCAAACTCTAAACATAAGTAGGAGTTACAAATGTGTTCATGCTTTTCTTTCTTTCTGTGTCTTACTCCCTTAGCTCCTCCTATTCGACCAAATTCCCAGACACATCTGGTTGCTTTGGTTATTCTCCAAAAATGAATTCTGCAAATGCCTGAGGCTATAAAAGTAAGGCGAGGGGGCGAGAGAGAAGATAGGTGAAGACAAGGGAGTGGGAAAGATTGTAGAAGTACAGAGAAGAGCGAGAAAGAGAGGGAGGGGAGTTAAGAAAATAATCCCTGGCGGAACACAGTGAGTTAAACAGCATATTTCCAGGAAGAGAGGGAGTTAGCAGGGAGAAACAGAGAGAGGGAGACAGGGGATATTTTAACAGTCTCCTCAGAAAAAAAGGTCTGTGTGTTTATCCACCAGCAGGTCACAGTATGGCGCTGTTCCCGTTCTGCAAGCAGCCCTCAGGTCAGTACAAACTCAGCCACTGCTCCACCTCTTTTACTCGTGTCATGTCTGGTTGTTTTCCCCTCACTTTTCATTGATCTCTGCAACTATGCTCAGTTTGATCATAGTTGTTTTAAGGACAAGGAGAAATAGATTGAGCCAGAAAATTCTGAAGTGTAAACAGCAAAGCTTTGCTGTGCTTTTACTCTGCTGTTTTCAATGAGCAATCATGTGTTTGAAAATATGTCCACGCTGGCAAAATGAGCTCCTTGATTAATTCGAGAACTTAAGCTGGTTGGAGAGCACGCACATCAGTGAAATGTATGCCGAGAATGAAGATAAAAACAATACAATCCCTTGCATGTGTTTCTGCTTAGGTCCTATCTAGTGCATCATGCACATGTCAAATAACTTGATACCGATCTCTTAACATACAGTGTATCTCAAACAACCATCAGCCTTGGCTGCATTCTGCTCTACTTCTCTTTTCTTAACACGCACACTTGGACATGATGTGCTATTACTTTGTTGTTGTATATCAGTAGCCGCTGATTGCTTTGTTGTTTAACGAACTTCCCCAAAATAAGAATAAGGCTTCATGCACTGTGTTGATTCGTTCTCATTGTATCTCAGAAATGAACCCCATTCCCTTGAGGTGTCACAGGTAAAATTGTCATTTTAGTTCATTTAAGGACTCAAATAAATACTTACCTCACAAATTGTGATTGGTATTAATATTGTACACACAAACACAATATTTTCAAAAACATTATTCCATATTATTATTCCATTTCAACATGAAGTAAGTTCTATCTTCTGTGTATACAGCCTAGACATTAGATTAACTGTTTGTAACATATTCATCTTGCAATTCTCTTTTAAGAGTACATAATTTGTGCAATCATCTAAGGGGAGATATTTTTTTAGCAGCACATTGTTTTCAATCTAGTGAGTTTGGTATTTTGTGTCCTGTCAGGATTTAAAGGATCATTGTAGTTTAAATGTACTTACTGATAGATTTTAGCAACTTGTACTGATTTCATTTTACTGCTTGTGCATCTGTGTATTTTTATTCTTTGAACAGGACCAGTCAGAAAAACCAGACTACAACTTGTCCTGTACTGTTTTCTCCTGTCTCTTATCATATGTAAGTTCCCAGAAGAATTTGCTCCACTCAAACCCTTTGCGCTGGGACAATAAATGCACCAAACGCTTGGTAAATATTAAACTGAGCCTTGTTGTTTGAACTGCATTTAGAATGGTTCAGAAAGAAGTATTTTTGCATTTTGACTTGGAATGGTATTTTTCTAAATAAATACTTAAAACAAAGACGTAAATGGTGCATGTTATTTTTTTTTTTTTTACAAAAGTCTCACTGCATGACATTTTCTTCCCAGCCAAAAGGGGAGTTTTGTGTTGAAATAAATACATTTTTTGATTCTCCCCCTCAGACTTCCTCCAAGGACGCAAAGCCTCTGTCAGGGTGGAGTCACCTCATCCTTTCTTTCATGCTTTAGGTGAGGACAGTGGTCAAGAAATGGCAGACATGACAGTTGTCAAGGCAGCAGCCCCTAAGACTCCTCAGGAGACACCATGGGGTGCACCTTTGGTGTGGGGCAACACCCGTAACTCTGCTTGGCGTAGGGCTAAATTCACTCAACGGGGAGTCCGTACCGGACTGTTGGTCCTCGTGGTGGGAACCTATGCCCGGTTCATCCAACGTTTTCTCTCTTCAGCTGAAACCCACTTTCTCCCAGGTCAGATGGTCACCTACTACATTCTCACAGACAATCCCCGCTCTCTGGACCCCTCAATGGAATTAGGGCTTGAACGAGAGCTGAAGGTGGTTCCAGTTGCAGAGCTGCCAGGGTGGGACAGGTTGGCATATCGCCGAATGGCCCTGCTTGTTGACGCCATCAAAAACGAAATCAGCAGCGAGGTTCAATACCTCTTCTGCGCTGACATCGATCAGGAGTTTGTGGCCCCTGTGAGAGAAGAAATCTTTGGAGACCTGGTTGCCACATTGCACCCAGAGCTTTATGGCATGCCACAAAATGCATTCCCTTATGAAGTGGAAGAAGCTTCATCCGCTTGTGTGGATGATGATGAAGGAGATTACTACTACACCTCTGAGTTCTATGGAGGGCTGGTTTCTGAGGTGCACAGGCTGGCTCAAGCCTGTTCTTTGCTCATTCTGCAGGATCAGGCCAAAGGGATAATGGCCAGGGGCCTGGAGGAGAGCTACCTGAACCGCTACCTGATCGACCACAGGCCCACCTGTGTGCTTTCCCCAGAGTACAGCTGCTGGGACTCAGCCCTGACTGCTGATGTGCCTGTGCAGAGGCTCGTCTCCTTGGGAAGGCAATGTGAGGCATCAGATATGAAGATGAAAGCGCAGTACAGATGTTGAGGGGACTACTGGCTGAATCCACAAATGAATGGATGTAGATCGTAATCCCACATGAATAACTATGGCTTTAAGTATTACATATCCTTTTAGAAAAGGTATCTGTTCAAGATCATTGTGTTATGACAGGGCAGGAAATAAAAGGCAATGATGAAGACAAAGCACAAACTCCAATCATCTTTATTCAATTAAGAGTTCAGAGTTTCCATTTCATTTTCTCGTCCATCAATAAATGTAAATTGCGCTTTTTTGAAAAGGAAAAGTGCTCTCAATTAAAGTCCCCTTTCTGTGAACACCACCTCTGTATGCCTGTTATCTCTTTCACAGCAGACAAATAAGAAATTGACCTGTCTCTTTAAACCAAGCACTGTCCTCTCCATTAATGTCAGCCTGCGAGATACTGTTTCAGGGGGCTTTGTGGTCAACAGCGATAAGAGTCAACAGTGTAAGTGCACACTTTCCTCACACTGGCCAATGATTAACTGGAAGAGCTGCTGTTTCAAGGTCCTTAAATACCAGGTGGGGGAAAATGGATACAAGTGGATGCTCTTCCTCCAGGCTACACGTGTATAGAATATTTAGTGTTTAAGCATTATCAAAAACTACAACAGCAATGGAGGGAGATTTTGTTAAAAGCTATCGTCTTACCCAAGTGATTAGTTGGAGTGCAACGTAAACCTTAAAGATCTGCACGCACACACACACACACACACACACACACACACACACACACACACACACACACACACACACACACACACACACACACACACACACACACACACACACACACACACACACACACACACACACACAGTCTGCCTTTCCCTTCTTGTGCGCTGTGTTTTAATGGAAGGGTTAAACAGTAGCAGATGGCTCTTTCTCAGTGCCAACAGAATCTGTCCTCAGGGCCAGATCGCCACGTGGAGAGAAGTTCGAGGTAAACTCCAGATAATCCTTTTGAAACTAATTTAAATGTCCGCAAGTTCCACTACTTGCAAAATAGATGTGTTTAAGTGGGCCAATTTAGATATCACGTGTCCAATTTTCATGATTCAATTCTCTAATTTGAACTAAATTGCACAGTAAATTGTATCTTTCTGCCAAATGAAAACTGTCTCACACACTTACCACGAAATGATCTCCAAATACTCCTAAACATTTTCTCTGGCTTTGCAGTCTATTACCTTAAGAGCTGTATATAGAGGCTTTTTTTTTTTTTTTTACATAGTTTACCTGGTTCATGCTGAGAACTCATTTTCATACCCTAATACAAAGCAGTTTAAAGAATTATTGGTTTAATCCCTGTCATGTGGTTTAGTGGTGGTCAAACAGCCTTTCTGCTGCAGCAAAACTAAGGCAGAGAAAGAGGAGGTTTAGCAATCCTTTAACGTATTTGCATGTAATCCTGTTATATGTTTATTAACTATTAAGTGCTACAGTGTTTAAAGACAACACATTAGTGTCTCCTAATGCAAATGAGGAGGACAAACCTTAGTCAACTAAAGAGCAACGCCTTTATTTCACTTTTTGTGTTCATTGAGTAGTCTGAGATATCATTCTTCTTACTTCTGTTGCGAAGCAGTCTGAAGTCTGTTATTCTTCAATAATGTGTTTATGATGCACTATGTATCTATTTAATCCCAAACATTATCATCATAACTCTTACACGCATACAAGTCACTAGTGGACAGCTATTCAAAATGTGTTTTCTGCTACATGCATGCATTCTGATGCCACATCTGCCACTCAAGTGGACTTCAGCAAGTCAACCCATACACTGTCACGCGCTGGCCAGTGTACCAAAAATGTCTTCAAAATCAAGATGGACGACAAAGAGTCAAAAATGCCATGTTACTGCAAATCCTGTTGTTCCTGACAGTGGTTCATTCTTGAGTCCGTAGGTGCTCTAGGCAGAAATTTGCAGTGGCCCGAGAGTTAGTCAGGGGCGACAGATTCTCTGCAACCCACACTCAACTCGGTTACGGCAAGCAGCTAAAAAAAATGTCAAAGAATAAACACCATAATATAATGCTACCTAAAGTGATGTCATGTAATAATCATCTGCGGGGTCAGGTGGTGTCCTCTTAGGGAGGTTTCCTACTGTCATTGTGTATTTTGAGCCACTGCTGTGGTCAAAAAATTTGAAGGCCCTCAGGGGAACCCCCTACTGGCCTGGGGTCCTGAGCAGCCGCCCGCCTTGCTTGTTGACAAGCAGTGCCTTTGGTTCCAGAAGAGCCTTGCAGGTGATAATATTTTCAAAACATCAAGTAACAACTAAGATATGATGTTATCATGACAATTTCCAGGTATTTATTTTAGTTTTGGAGAAAATTGATTGATCGCATACCCACTAAATTGGATGTCATGCATTGCCTACTATAGTTCAATTACAATTGGGACTTAACTGACCTTGAAAACTTTTGATACGGAGTAGCTTCTTTAATGTGAATCAATTGATTTTTATGATTAAACTGTCACTTGCAGGATTTTAACATAAACAGTATTTTGTGTAAGTTTGTTTCATTCAAAGTGTTTCAATGGAAAAGGCTCAATTCTGAATTCAAAACCATGCCATCCCATAATATTTGCTCTCCTAATAAATGTTTTTTGTTTTGCTGTTCTGGCAGCCTCCAGGCAACAACTGTCGAGGTTGTTTGAGTTCATCAAGCACGGTTTTTCCTGTATAAAACAGGAAATCTCAAAAACTAAAAGATGGTCAACCCTCAAAACTTAAATTCAAGAAACTCAATATGATTCTCTCCAACTCCGTGGAATTGTGACAAACTGAAACTAGGTTTTTAAAACGGAAAAAAACATTAGCTATTTTGTTCATGCATTAAAAAATATTTTTTGCATTGCAGCATTGCATGATGTCCACTCTAGTGAACACTTCTGTAACTTCTTTAGCATTATGTAAATAATAATAATGTTAATTTGCATGTCTTTAGAAGTAAAACAAAAAACATTCAAACAGCTTGCTACCTGATTACACAATTCATGCTGGAAACGGATTCATTTGACCCAACTTTGGGACTTTTTTCATGTCAATGTCCTCGTTGGCGTAAAGTTATGGTGACCAGCTGAAACCTTTCTAGGGCCAGGTGCATGGAGGGACACTCAGGCTAGAAGAAATATGGTTCATTCTAAATTAAAGCAATGATTTCCAAAATGAATTTCTTATTTTCAACCTAACTGCTCACAAATCAAAATCATGGCCCATTTACCTTAAAGGTGCACTGTGGAGTTTTAGTGGAGAAATGTGCAGATTCTGTGGTCTATGTTCATAACGCTTATACATGAACTGAAATGTGGTCCCTGGAAGACTGTTTGAAGATAAAATGCTACGCGAGAAGTTATTGTGGTGGGTCCGCAACATTGAAACCGTAACTCCTGGTAGCTTTTTAGCTCCAAACAGTATTCCAGAGACCATTTTCCTTTGAATAAAATTTGTGTATTTAGCTCAGAAAATATAGCATAGAATTGTTTCACTTCTCCAACTTTCAAATTTCACTACAAAATCTACATAGTGCACCTTTAACATTTAGATCAGTAATGTCTGACTGAGAACCTGCAGAAAAGTCAAGATTCCAGAAAAGAAAGGAGAAGAAAAGGATGGAGAGCCAGGGCATGGGGAGCATCCATTCACTGGGTCTTATAGAATCCTAGTCATTATTGTGGGCAGGCCTGCCTAGCTGAGCATCGGCTCAGTTAGCTTAGCAAACAGTAAGTTGAGCTGACATTAGTTAATCACTAGCTAATCTACAAATGCATAACATTTGGAATATTTACAGTAATTTGTCTGCAGCTACATTAGAGAAGCATTTTGAACCAACCACTTACTAACTTATTACTTTGCATCATCCGATGGTACATAATGATATACTCCTGATCAATCACAGACTTATTCTAAATCAATTGTAGTTTATACTTTAAACTGGGAAACGGAGCGGAGTATGTTTTACATCTTAAAAAGGGTCAAATAAAAATAAAGATATTTAAAACTATTCTGTGTATTAACTTTGTAAAACTGACCTATGGTGTCTGTCTTTAGAGCTGCATGTAGGTCTCATACACAGTCTGCAGCACATAGGGGTTTATTTGTGTGAGAGGGGCAAACATTGTATCATGTTGCTGCAGAAGTGAGTGGGCGTGTCTTACCCTCCTGCCCCCTGCCCTCCTCCCTCTCGAAGTTGATACATTGACTTTCAAAGGGCATTTTTTTAAATTCCAGGGTAGAGCATTACAACTGAAAATGTGGGGTTTAGTTACCCTGAGCTTCTGACCATCACATCATGTTGGAGTTCTCCGACAAATTCATTTGACCGCTTAGGTTTCCTTTTTCCTGGTGGTGTAAATTACTTGCTTGATGCTCCTGAAACATGTTGGCTAATGGACTGCACCAAATCAGAGTAAATAAATATATATAGGGCCGTTTATGTTGTGTGAATGTTCAACAATACAGTGTAGGATGGACTGTATTTCCAGTGTATGAGGTTGGATTCTTAACAAGTGCTGTGCATCTGCGATTGCTCAAACACATGACACAGGGATTTGTGTCTGCCAGGTCATCAAATTAAGTTGAAATATTTTTTCAATTTAATCCATACATGGGGACTACCTGTAAATAAAAAAAAAAACATCCATGTAAAAACTTTCCCAAAAAAATCAATTTACAAGTACCAAGTTGTCCTCATATCTACATCCACAGATAAGGAAAAACACATAGGCTTTTCACAACCAGAAAGTATTTTGGAGTCACCTGCTCACCTGTTCAGCATGTGTTTGTCCTGAAGGAAGAAAGTGGAGCATCTGGATAAGATCCAACCCAGGATGTTTCTGTGAGGTAACAGTGCTAGCTAATGAGCCACTGTGCCACCGCCATGCCTGCTTATTAGTGCCAATTACAGGTCACACACAGGTAAGTTAAAGTACCGGAGACTTTGTGATGAGTGTGCAATTACTCAGTCACGATGAGCAGGTGTTGATCATTTAATTCCCCATTACTTAAGTTGGGTTAAACCATACATAATAATTAGGCTATTTTACAGCATTGTTTATCATTTATATAAGGTGAACTTACTACTAGTCCGATTCATTTTCTAGTTACTACAAATATATGATATTGTTTTTGTATCTGCTAAACATACCCCATATCTCAATGCATGGAGACAGCAACTTTAAATGTAAATCCTTTTCATAACAGAGAAGAGATACTTCGTCTTTGTTCCTGAATTCAGGTTCCAGGCCAAAAAACATGTGCCTCTGATTAGCACCAAAATCCGAGC